ACTTCCCCAGCCCACAACCTCCCTCCAATACACAGCAGGCCACAATTACTCTAATGCCATGGAGGGGCAGCAGGGAAGATAATCAGATTAATTCTGAGATTGGGGATGGAATCTTGGGATCTGCTTAATACGGATTTAAAGCAAAGAAGAGAAGCCCTAGTGAAGTAATGAGTTTTAACACCTAAATCCCGAAGCCGTTTCCTGTGCTTATCTATGCTCTTTTGTCTGACTTTGCTAGTTCGCAAGGCTGGGGAGAACAAGGAGAGTACTTGTCTCTTTCATCAGTGTTCCAGAAGACCGTGCCTTGTGCAGTGGCAGTATACCATCTCCAGTGAACTTTGTTCCTGGCAGGATTACTGTTAATTGAAATCCTTTCCCAGGGACCAGTGGACACATGTGCTCTCTGGTTTGTTTGGGTACAATGTTTGCCCAGCCTGGAGGACCTAGGTCAGTCTGGGCCTTTGTCCAACCTTCTTGGCAGCAGAGAGGCAATTATCACTTACAGACTGGTCCTGCGTCTCTTCTGAGCTCTGCTAGACTCTGAAGCCTGGTTAGCAGCCATAGAGTGCTAGCCGTGAGGTCAGAGACTGGTACGCTGCCCGATTCAGATGGGCTATATTCTACACTTGCCTCAGTTCTCTTTGTGATGAGACCGGATCTATCTGAGACATCCAAGGAGTTCTTCCCCAACCCTTCCCTTTGTGGGCTGGATGCCACCCTCTTTATCCTTAGCTTTTTAAAAAATAAGCTGATGGCACAGAACCAGGGAAGTCATCCATCCCACCTTTGTTATGACAACTCTAAACCTTCATGACCTTCTCTGCCAGCTGCAACCAGGGATAAGTCCGTAGCACCCTTCCCACACTGTGCCTTCAATGCACAGCCTCTCCCATTTCCCTGGCTGTGTGCCGTCATCTTCATCACAGCCCTGAGTCTGTTTGTGAACCACACCCTACCCAGCATGCCCTGCATATAGATCTGTCCTGAGCTCGGTGGGTCATTTCAAATCAGCCTCCGTTCCTAGTCCCCCTTGTCAGGATGCCATCCACAACCCCAGATCTTGTATCACCACACCGGTACCTCACTTGAAGACCATTACCTCGCTTCACTGCTGCCCATGTGGCTACCATCCCTTCTTTTAGATATAAACCAAGCACATAGCTTCTCCATCTTTGTGTGTCCCTGACGTCACTAATGCGCCAACTATCACTGTTTGCTGAAGGAATGAAGAAATTATAGACAAACACTAACTATAATAAATGGAGTATAACAGCCTCACTGGCCCTCTGGCCACACCCTACTCAGCTCACGCTTCACCTCCTATACTATTTCCTCTAAAGGACAGAATTTCCAGTGGTTCCCGCTGCCTATTGCATTAAGTGCACATCTCATCTGACTCAAGCCTGCTCCAACTCCTCTGCTGGGCCTGGCCTGTACTCTGCCAACAATATCTTCCTCCTCCTAATTTCCTCTAACTCCTACCCAATACCTTTCACAAGGATCCATTCACCTCCATTTTTTCTGCTCCTTTTATTTTTCTGTCTTGATGTCTAAATTTCTTTGAAAATTTATTTTTGCATGGTGTGTTTTGTGTGTGTGTGGGGGGGGGGGAGTCAGGGGTCAGAGGACCACTTTCAGAAGTCAGTTTTCTCCTTCTAGCGTAGTGTGTGGATCTTGGTGGTTGAACTCGGGTCTTCAGGCTTGACAACAGACACCTTTACAAGGTGAACATTCCCTCTGTCCCGGGTCTACTTTCTTCTCCTTTGAAACTTGTGCCCTCCTTCACTCCTATCTTGGTGCTGAGCATAGTCGGGTTATCTGCCTTGCTGGAACTCAGCACCTAAATACTTTAGGGTAAAAAAGTCCTGTTCCTTATATGTTGCTCCAGATTTTATCTGGCAAGACATTTGTCTTCAGAAGTCCTTTCAGAGTGGTCTACACGCGTGTTTGTGGCAAGCGTGTAGTTGAACAAATGAAAACAATCAGCTGTCCAGACTTCCTGTGGGAACACCGTGGGAAACCTCGAGGTTCAGTGCTGACAAGTGATAGCAAGCACGGCACATGGTGTCCGTGCTGTGCAGGGCAGGGTAGGGACGTGAGGAATGTTGCTAGAGTTGTAGCAAATCCACTGTTTGTCTCCAGGACTGAGAGTTCTTTATTTCTTTGTTGAGAGACGTTTGCTAATAACAAAAGCCGGTTGTCATCTTTACCTCGTGCCAGGACTGAGATAAATCCTCACAAGCATTACTCCTCAGAGCACTGAATGGTTTCTCAGATCAGGAAAAGGCGGCTCAGAGAAACCAGGAATCTGGTCTTGACACTAAGAGGCAGAGCCGAGATTTGAACATCAATCCAACTCCGTTGCCCGTAATCTCAAACCACTACAAAATACTCAAAAATATTTTGTTTATTTCTGTTTTCTATTTTTTGTTAGTTTGTTTTATTGAGACGTCTATTTTCTAAAAATCTATCCTTTGCAAATTTCTCTTGGGGTATATTTTACAATCAGTATAGTAGTCTGTTTATTATTTGGGGGTGTCAGACAAAAAGATGTTTTACTGCAGATACCCAATTGCAACTTGCCACTTTTTCATATGTTACCTTGCATTATGTTCATATTGCTTCATATCCATAGGCCACAAATTTCTCAAGAAATGTTCAGTGTCCTTGAGTGTGAAAATTATGTTTTAAATTTATACTCTACCTCCCACAGTGGGCCTAACTGTATTATACAACAATACTCACCAACATTACACTCTAGAGTAAAGCCAAGCTAATAAAAATTGTTAGGAATATAGAATCTTAGTTTCTGAGCAGTGCACCTAGAACAACTTAGCAACTTGGAAATAATCCTGTGGAGCAAATATGGAAAGTTTTACTACAGACCCCTAAAGATCCAAACTGGCTTTGAACGCCCAAGCAATGTCCTATATGCTGGAGCATTCTTGTCTGGGGAGCTCTAGGAAAGGGCAGTGTAGGGCTCTGTGGAAGGTGATGATAACACATGCATTGGCGCCCTCTGCTGGCAGAAGGAGGTTGTTTGCGTCTTTGCGGGAATTCTTGGTTCAGGTGTGTAATTGCTTATAGTATCCAGCCCCAGTCAGTTCTTAGTCTATAAAGGAGAACAACCCCCCACCCCTGAATCTTTCTCCTTTTGAAGCAACCAAATACACATCCCGTTCTTGTTCGAGAACAGCACATGTGTCTCCGAAGCCAGGCTCTCTGTACACTGCTGTCAGAGAAGCTCCACATACCTGACACACATTCTTGCCACAAGTACAGCCTTGATTGTCCGCAGCGCTGCACAAAGCCCGGTTTGCCACAGACTCCGCTAATGCTGGATCGGTATTGTTTGTCACAGATTAGAATTTTTAAGTCTCAACCCGTGGAAGAAATCAAATATCTACAATTCTTTGACTTGTTCAGTTGAACTAATTACTGGCACATATTTCTTAGCATGTGGTCTTCTCTATTTCTCTTTCTCAGAACTTTAAGAATATGAGTCATAATTGTTAATCATGTCAATGCCTCCTCAAAATCTGAGATTTGTGCCAATGCCGCCAGGCAAAATTCTTCTGCGCGGTTTTCCCACAGAGCACTGAGCATCTCTTTCCCTGCTTGAGTTGTGAACCACTAGAGAACTTAAAATGTCACCCTCGCATGACACACAGCAACCCTTATAAAGATATTACTTATAAATGGCTGGTTTTATTTTATTATTCTATTTTAAGGGGCGTCGCCAGTTTTCAGAGGCATAACAACGTTTAAAGTCCTGTTGTTAAATTGTCCATATGGAATGAAATGGGCCTGGCATCGGGCAGGACTCCGTCACTTACTGTTTGTGGAGACAATTCACCAGCAGTGCCCGTGCACGCTCTCGTTGGTGTGCCAAGAATGTAAGATTGATCACTCTTTCTTTGGGTCTTTTTTTTCGGAGTTGTGTTTGCAAGGAGCAATTTTGAGAGATGAGGTAATGTCTCTCTGTGGAACAAAGAACAGGCTTGCCTACTGCTCGCTATAAAACATAGTAGTTTCCGAGCTCAGCATTCCTCGCCTATAATGAAAACCGTTTTGTGTTCAAGCATGCATCTGCAGCCCATATGCTTTGTTCGGAGAGAATCCGAGTTCAGAGAGCTAACATGAACATGCTGACCCTCTGGCTACTGCTTTTGTTGTCAATAGTCCACTCGTGTTCTGTCAATATCGATAAAGCTACGAAAAATAAGATATTTAGCCTGCAAGGTAGAATAAAATCTGATTCTCCACACTTCGCCTCACTAGCTGGGGCCCCAATGTGTATGATTTAACTTAAGCTGCGGTTTTTCTTTCTCGAACGAAGATGCTGGTACTTGTCCTTTAATAGAAAAATGCCCTCCCCCACTAGAAGCTTCCAGAGAATTCCCTCTCTCCCGTTAGTGCACCGCGCTAGGCAAGGACCTGTCCCTTGACGCCTGCTTCTGCCTGGCAGGGACCACCCTGTGGCCGCAGACTGACGCGGGTTTGGTGTAAAGGTGTCAGCGTCAGGTCGCGCCACGCGAGTCCGACGCAGGCGGGGCCCGGAGAGCCGCACGCTGATTGGAGCCCAAGCCGGGGCTTTTGTCTGGCAGCGGCCGTTGCCTAGCAACCGGGGATTTATTTAGCTAGTTCTCTCCGCGTGGCTTGGGGTCGCTGCGATGGAAACGGGGGTGGGGGTGATGTGTGGGGGGCACTGGAGACCCACTCCTGCCCACGCCGCAGCTCCTATTCACGGTGAACCCCAGTCCTTCTGAGCAAAGGTGCCAGGTCGTCCGCTGTCCGCGGCGCCCGGGAGGGAGACACGTCCTCCACGCTTGGCCGCGCTCCCTGCAGCCGCGGCGCCTGCACACGCGCGCTCCCACGCGCGCTCCCACGCTCCCCGTCGGCCTCCGGAGGCCGCCCACTCCGACGCGCGTGGGGAGCGCGCGGGCATCGGCGGCTGCGCGGAAGCTCCTCCGCGGAGGCAGAGCGGACCAGATCCCGGGAGGATGCTTCTGTGCGGGGCGCGTCGCCCCCCTCAGGCCACCAGAGCCCGGATACCTCAGAAATTCGGCTCTGGGTCTGTGGGGAGCGAAATGCAACCCAAACCCCGTTTTCCCCGAAGCCCCGCGCAGATAAACACGCACAAGCACGCACACAGACGTCGCCGCGGCCCGCACTCGCAGCCGCGGGGTCCCGGCGTCAGGGAAGGAAAGAGCCCGGGGCCCGGAGGGGTCTCCGGCTTCTCCTGGCAGCCCCGGGCGCGGCCGCTCGCAGGGGCGACGGAAGCTCCCGGCGTCACCGGCCCGGAGCAACGGCGCAACGGCCGGTCTGGGCCCGCAGCCTCGGCGGCCTGGGCGGGGCGGGAGCGGCCGCCGGACACAGCTGGTAGGCGGGGGCGCGGGGAGGGCGGGGAGCCGGGAACGGACGGCCGCCACCGGCCTGGAAGGGCGGGCTCCCGCTGCGCTCTCCGGACCCGCGGCCTGCAGCCGCCCTTCAGCGGCCGCGAATCCCGGGAGGTCGGGCGCCCCCCGCCCTCGCCTGGCTTCGCCGGTACTGCTGGGGACACGTTGGCGCGGCAGCCCGGCTCCGGAGACAACCGAGACTGCGGTGGGCCGGGCGTGGGGCCGTTGCCTCTGGTTGAATAGGGCAGAGGCCGTTGCCTCTGGTTGAATAGGGCAGATGCGCGGAAACTCCAACAGGTGGCTCCGTGGCGCAATGGATAGCGCATTGGACTTCTAGAGGTTGAAGGCATTCAAAGGTTCCGGGTTCGAGTCCCGGCGGAGTCGGAGTATTTTTAAAACGCTCGGGAAATTGTTTTTGATTTCTGCTTTTATTCTTTTTCGGTTGTGCAAACAACTTCTGCTCCCGGCCCGGACACAGGACGCTGCGTGCTGCAACGACAACCTCGAGCTGCAGCTCCGCGGTCACCCTTCCTCATTGCAGGCCGAATCGATCTCAATCGGAAAAATGGGAAAAAGGGGGACGATAAAGAAGCGGGCGCTCGCTGTGGGCCTCGGTGAGCGTGGGGCAGGCTTGGGTCTCGCGTGACATCCCACGTGTGGAGCTAGACAGTGCCTACCAGCGGGGTAGAGGAAGCGCGTTGCCCAGGCTAGGGGGAAGGCATTCTAAATACACGCCTTGCTCCCCGTCCCCCGAATCTCGAGGGGATCTTGTAAAAAAAAAAAAAAAATATATATATATATATATATATATATATATATGTATGTATGTATATATACATGTGTGTATATATATATATGTATATATATACCTCAGCCGTCACTTCAGGATGCCATTTCGGTGGATGTGGAAAGAGGCCCAGAAATCTGCATTTCTGGGGTTGACTGCTTTCTTCGTCCACGATTTTGGTGCAAAGCAAAGGGTTGGAGTGGTCACGTTCTGCCTGCCAATTCGAAAGGGGAGTAAAAGTCTTGTCCCCTAGTGACAGGTCTAACTTTGCACAGGGTTAGCGTTCCACTTCGCCAAATACAAATAAGCATAGGAATGAAGGGAGTTTAAAAAATGTATTGTGCCGACAAAACCGTAATAGATGCAAAACATAGGAAATTCAAAACAGTCGGTTAAGGTCCAGGGAAGAGCACACACCCTTGTTATTCCTGTATCTGAGGTTTGAAATTCTCACAAACCAGTAGTAATCATGTTTTCAAAATTTTTTTGAACGCAGAAGTTAGCTTTGTGTACCTTGCTTAGTATTGCTGGCCATGTGTAATATTATAAAACACACTGCAACATATTCCACCTGTCTGAGCTGATACAGGTAGAACTGCCTTGTGCCATTGTATCCTGTTGATTTAATAGCCCCTAATTCTTAGACATTTAGATGTCCATTATATCCCGTGACGATGCTTCAGTGAACTGCCTGTTCTCTGTGCACAGTGTATCTTTATCTAGGAAGTTGTATCGCTGGCTCAAGGGTTGTTCCAGGATTCCTAATCTGTGCCTTCACTGACAAGGTTTGGAAGATCCCCTTCCTAGGCTCTTCACTTTATTCTCCCAGCCATGTGCGAGAAAGCTAGTTTTTCTGCAGGCCATGCTACCAAACACGTGGGAACTAATCGTAGCTTTAAACTCAGTTTTTATTGTTATGCACTTTTCCGTAAACAGGGTAACTTGTTTTCCTTCTCTGTGCTTTACCTGTCCTTGTAGTGAGCTCACTCACTTTCCTATTGTGTCGTTCACACCTGCCTAGGATGGCTATAATATAAAAAAAAAAAAAATGTTTTATTTGTTTGTAGTTCTTTACCTGTAAGAGAAAACAGCTCTATATTTTCAATCAATGCTATTTTCCAGTCCACTTGTGTTGGTTTTATTTATAAACTCTTATTTTTCTCTCACAGAAACTCATCTATTGTGATCTATCAATGTTTGCTAGCTTCTAGATTGTTAAATAATTCCCTTTAATGGTTTCATTTTTAAGCCTCTGCTCCATCTGGAATGTCTTTTGTAATGGAAGTTCTGGCCCAGCCTTGCTGGTGATGAGCCCACTGTCTCTTCCATACTAATTTGAAATGACACCTTTATTATTGTCTAAATTCCTGCATACACTTTGGTTTCTGGATTTTCTAGTTTGCTGCATTGGCCTGAAATTTTTACGTGCTATTTTATAGTCTAGTAAGGTCAGATGTTTGCTATTGTTTTAAGAGATTTCCCCTTCCTAATCATAAATTATTCATTAATGTAATACTTACTAATGAAGCTGGGGCTACACCTCCTGTGGTTTACAATTATAAACTGTCCACGTGTTTGATAGCACATGAGCTGTGGGGAAACAGGGAGACCAAAACCATAGTCTCTAGTTGGGACGTCAGAGATCTTTTTGTTTCTGTGACAAAATATGATAGATTTAAATTTATTTTGACTCAGTGATTTTGAAAAGGATCCACCAACTTGTCTGTCCAAGGACAAGAGGCAAAGGCTGGTGCCTTACCTTTGTGTTCATTACAGGCATGCTCTCAACAGCTTCTTCATAAAACACCAAACTACAAAGGTCAGAATGTTTGCGGAGCTAGAGCTTCCTTATGACCTCATCAGCTGAGAACTAGCGGGAACTGAGGAGCTTCCATGTGAGGAAGACAAGGAGAAACTGTTACTAAGGTAAAATCTTCATCCCCAAGACTCCTTCAGGAAGCCTTCAGATCGCTTTGGCTGCCAGCAGGTGGCTTCATTTACCCCTAGTTGACAAACTCTGGGAATCGCATGGCTGAGCAGTATGTATTAGCTTCCTGCGAGCTTATGAGAAATACCACCTCCAGCATGTGGGTCATGGTAACAGCTGCCTGGGCTACTTTGCGGAAACTTGAACTTTTGCTAAGACGGATTCTTCACTAGAGTCCACAGTACCAGATGGAGAAACATGATAAAAGGCTTGGCACGGGATTTCCCACAGCGTCTGTCCGTTTTGCCGTCTTAACTTCCGGGTCAGCTCTAAGTAAATGTTCATCATTTGAAAAAAATGTTTTGTCCAAGACTAGTATAACTTGACCTGTTACCAGTGTAGCTGGTGTTTGTTCTACCCCACCCTCGTGCTTTCGAGACAGCTTACACACCTACAGCCCCTAAAAACTATGACACTAGACTGTTTCACGAGGAAAGCAGCACTTTCTGAGCAAAGCTGACTACTCATTAGCCCACCAAATAAAAGGATTTTGTGTGTGTGTGTCTTCTCCAACCGTGTTAGAGCTAATGAACAATGACCAAACAATAGCCCATCCAAGAGGAATCAAAGTCTGCTGTTTCGTCTTGTTAAGTGAACAGCCCAATCAGTATTAGCTTCCCTCTATTCTTAGGCGGAAGAGCCAGTAAATGGAGCCTGGAGGCACAGGTTTAGAATCTGAATTACTCTGTATTATATATATTTTATTATCTAATACTCAAAGAACTTCTGAAAACCAGCCGCTCATTCTAAAGTCTACTCTGCTAAGTTCCTACAACATCAGAGCGTGTACACTGCCCAGAAATCCCAAAAGCAAATAGCACAGCTTGGTCTCATTTCTGTTGTTCCTAAGCCATAAATCCTGCTATCCAATCTCAATTTTAGTCTGTAGTTCCTTGACTTGATTGCTTTGGTGTCTGTATTGAGACAGAGCATCATGATAGGTGCACACGTGAAACAAAACAGGACACACCAGCAGATGGAAGGCAGGGTAGGGGTAGCAGATGCAAGATAACAGACTTCCTAAAGACATGTTCTCAACAAGGTCCTAAGTTTCCACCGCCTTCTAATAGCTCATCAAAGAATTACCCATAGATGCATCAAAGCCCTCTATATGCAGGCCTCAGTGATAAATTGGCCCTTTGGAAGCCTGTCAATTACTAAGCTATAGGAGCCCACCCGATGCACACCTGTAGGAGCCCCTGTTATTAAGAACTGGAGACGCAGCTGGGTGTGGTGGAGTACTTTGATCCCAGACTTGGAAGGCAGAGCCTGGGTGGTTCTCGGATCTTGAGGACAGCTTAATCTGTCTAGTGAGTTGTAGGACAGTAACGACTGCATCATGAGACCCCATCCAAAACAAACATGAACGAACAAAGCCCCAAACGTTACGAGTTCACCCAGGACCATATTCCAAATGTCTCATACACCATTGTCGAGCATGGACTTGACAGCCATGGGGAAGCGCTGGACAGTTGTTAGCTGGGAAGCGGTATCATGGGTTTTATATCATTCCTCTGCTGCAGGGTAGACTGGACTAAGGCTACTGAAAACACGAAAGTAAGAAGGTATTGAGAGCTGGGATGGGGAGGTGGTTGAAGAGGAGGCCGAGAATGTAACTGGACCTGTTTCCCAGGACAAGCAGGGATGCAGGAGAGAGAAGAAGCCGCTGGAGTGCCAGAGCATGACTGTTTGTACGTGGGCCAGTGGATGCATGCTGACGTAATTGAGACAAAAACAGAAAAACGCAGGAGAGTATGAGGATAAGTTTGGGTATGTGTTGACTCTGAGGTCTTTGGGACACCCTGGGGATTTACTGTTGGTACTTAGACACAATGCTAAGCCCCAACAAGTTCCCTGTGGATGTCTACGTGGAAGGGCATGGCAAGACCAAGCTGAAGGCATGAAGTGACGGGAAAGCTAGGACTAAGGAGACGGATGCAAGGTTTGGACAACCTTAACTGATCTACTTCACACCCGGCTGTAGCAGCCCGACTTTGGTAGTCATTGAGCCTAAACTAATAATTGTTGAGTATAAATTAAATTCTGTGCATGCTCACCAAACCAAGATAGTTTCGTCCACTATTCAAACACCGATGGCCCCTGACAAGTCCGCCTCGGAACCGACTACAATGGAGAGAAGGCCACTTGTATTGAGCAGAAACTACTTTTCCTGGGCTAGGGATGATTCTCGACGTGCTTGGCCGATGAGATAATCAAGGTATCAGATTGTGCAACTGCAGACTAAGGCATTTGTCTGAAATGTTCTGAGCATTTCAGGGAAACTAGGTAAGGCTGTATTTGGTACATTAGATCGAATGCATCTTCAACTTAGACTACTTTCACCTTAAGCTCTGTGAACCCGATCCTGAATCGAAGTATGCAAGTATGTCTAAGTTAAGATGACAGAAACCAAAAGCAGAAGTTCCAGGCAGATAAGATGTGTGGTGATATTTTGTGTCTTAACAAGTAAAGTCTGCCTGCAAATCGGAGTGCAGAGCTAAGCCACTAGAGGCCAGGCAGTGGTGGCATGCACCTTTAGCACCTTTAATCTCAAGACTCGGGAGACCAGGCAGATGGATCTCTGTTCAAGGTCGCCATGGGCTACAAAAGACTGAATCTGCCCAAGAGAGAAGCAGAACTCACACAAAGGTGGTCCCAGCACTTGGGATCCCACGCCTTTAATCCCAGCACTAGGGAGGTGGGGACAGAAGTGACGTGGCTGGACAGAGAGGATATAAGGTGGGAGGAGCTCAGAGCAGTCTGGACCAGCAGTCTGACCACAGGATGGCCCCTTTGCTTTAAGCATGGTAGAGGTAAGAACTCTAATGTCTGGCCACTCCCCTCCGATCCTTCAGTTTTCACCCCCTGACAGCTGACTCTGAGTTATTATTATTAAGAACAATTAGAATTCGTGCTACAAGATGGGTTAGTAGATAAAGCCTGTGGCCAAGGCTGATGGGCTGGATTTGGTCCCTGGGACCCACGTGGTGAAAGGGGACCTCACAATTGTCCTCTGACCATCATACAAGTATATGCACATGCCCGGCACACATACACAAACAAAAGGTAATAAAAAATCAGCAGTTCCTACCTTTGTAACAGGACCCCAGACTTAACACAACTGACACCATGACGGAAGCACCATCCACACCTTAGAATCCAGCATGTAAGTAGGCAGCAACACCTGCCAAAATGAGAACAAAGACCTAATCCATCAAAGTCCATAGTTCTGGGAAGTCCCTAAATGTACTAACCCTGCCTTTTGGCTTCTGTAGTTCCACATCTGACCAACTGAGCTGTGTCAACCCAGGGTGTGGTTTTTATGCTTAAAACCCCAGTCTGAGAAAGGCTCAGGACCGCACTGGGTCCCAAACACCAGTGTGGTCACCAGTCGGCTAATACAGGCTTTCTGTTGGCTTCAACCTTCGGTGTTATTCTTTACAGTTGGGAAGGTATTTGTTTATTGGGACATTGCATATAAAACAAATTATGTAGTTGAAGCAATTTTCAATGTCTGATGCCCCTGCCTCCACTTCCAAGGTGCTGGGATTTCAGGCTTGTACCATTACTCTGCTTTGAAAGAATGAATGTTAGGTGATATCAGATTATTTTTAGTTAATTTCAGTTTACTTGATGGAAGTAATTATTTTGTTAAACATTCCCTACTTTATACAAATGAAGTGGAAAGGGGGCTGGAGAGATGGCTCAACGGTTAAGAGCATTGCGTGCTCTTCCAAAGGACCCGAGTTCGATTCCCAGCAACCACATGGTGGCTCACAACCATCTGGTCTGGTGTTCTCTTCTAGCCTGCAGGCATATATGCAAACATAATATTGTATCCATAATAAATAAATAAATATTTAAAAAAACCAAATGCAGTGGAAATGAAACTTTCCATGTGGTAACAGAATTCCTGGTGTCAATGTGAGTTTGTTTTACAGGTTGTCATCTGTGGTCACTTTGGTGTTGTAGCAAATCATCTTAAGGTGTGTGACTTTTGTTTATGCTGCATTTGTTTAACTCTGTGAAGCTGTGATTCTTTGTCTAAAACACCCGATGATGGTCTAATAAAGAGCTGAATGGCCAATAGCAGAGCAGGAGAAAAGATAGGCGGGGCTGGCAGGAAAGCATATAAATAGAAAGACAAATTGGGAAGAAGGAGCAAGAGAGAACAAGGAGAGGGAGATGTCAGGGCCAGCCAGCAACAGAGTCAGAGTGAAAGCAAGATATACAGAAGTAAGGAAAGGAAAGAGCCCTGAGGCAAAAAGTGGTCAGGATAATTTAAGAAGGTAAGAAACAAGCCAAGACCAGGCATTTATAAGTAATAAATAAGCCTCTATGTGATTTATTTGGGAGCTAGGTGGTGGGGCCTCCAAAATACAAAAGACCAAGGAGCCAAAGAGTAAAGAGTAAAAAACACCACTTTAGGCCCATGGCAAGGAAGTCCATAGCAGGACAGCAATGGTAGAAGGACAGCCAACCATCTCATAGCTGCAAATAAAATGTAGTCGGGTCCATTCCCCATATTTACCTTCACTAGGGCCCGCCTCCTAAAGGACCTCCCAAAAGTACCATAGGCCTTTGAGGAATATTTAAGACAAACTACAAGTTGCTTATAAAAAGTCAGGTGGTGATGGTACACGCCTTTAATTCCAGCACTCGGGAGGCAGAGGCTGGGGGGGGGGTGTGGATCTGAGTTCAAGGTCAGCTTGATCTACAGCTCAGGACAGCTAGGGCTGTTACACCGAGTAACCCTGTCTTGAAAAACAAACAAAAAGTTAAACCAATGGAGACAAAACAAAAAGAGCATGGAAATGTAACTATGAGTTATGAAAAATACTGTCTGTTTTGAAGCAGAGAATTGCTCAGTCCGTTCTAGCATTCACGGGACAGATCAAGCAGCAGTAGGTTGCCCCTTGAGCCTTAGTCGTGAAATGTTTACTAAGAGTCTCCTGGAGGATGGGTAAAGAAACTCTTAATCCTCCTTACTTCTCCCACATGCAATCATTTTATCACACAGAGGATACATATATTATTGAAATAGGTTGTCTTGCTTTTTTTTTTTAAATAAAAGGAAGCATAGAAGCTAGGTTGCTTGATCCCAATATAAAATGTAAGCTTTTATAGTTACTCAAATAGGAGTTCAGTAAATAATCTAAAGGAGCTATAACCAACAAGCACTAATAGGAATGATCAACACTCTTGGGTACCAGGTTAGGCTGGGTGCTAGCTGAACCAGTGGATGAGGAAAACTGGGTAATTTGATCTACTGGCCAAGTGAAAATCCTGTTTAATCCTGTTTTACTTAGAACTAACCTTAGAAGGAATCAATCCTCCCTTCTCAGTTGCTAAGAAAAAACTCGAGCCCTTGCATCTTCCAGTTTTGTCCCAGACTTTCCAGAGAGGCTTCTGTATTGCTTCTGACATATTGAAGCTCCCTGAGCTGTTTCTGCGCAATTTCATGACTGCTCCTGTAACATGAGGCCTGCTTGTTGGGGTTTCTGTCCTGTCCAGTTCCCACAGACCTTAGGTTCCAAAGAATCAGAAGTCTACATAAGTTATAAAATTGATTGGCCCCTTAACTCAGGTTTCTTATTAACTCTTATAGCTTACATTAACCCATTATTCTAGTATATGTTAGCCACATAGCCAGGTACCTTTTTCAGCAGGGCAGCACATCCTGCTTCTTCAGTGTCTGGACACGACTCAGGGAAGAGCTTCCTTCTTCCCAGAATACTCTTGTTCTCATTGTCCCGCCTCTACTTCCTGTCTGGTTGTTCTGCCTATACTTCCTGCCTGGCTACTGGCCAACCAGCTTTTATTTAAAACATAACTGACAGAATACAGAATTGTCCTGCACCAGCACCACTTCTCCGGGAACACTTTTCTTACCCCACGCTGTAGTTGTACGCTGGGAGATGCAGGGAAGCAGAAGCCTTGTCTACACCCTCCACACACCACAGAAGCAGGTAAGCAGAAGCCGCGTCTACACCCTCCACACACACCACAGAAGCAGGTAAGCAGAAGCCGCGTCTACACCCTCCACACACACAACAGTAGTTTTCACATCAAAACAGTTTTGATCACTTCAAAAAATACTCTGAACATAACAGAACATACTGCCTATTTATGTTCTAATTACATTTTCTTTAAATAACCAATCCAAAACCTGGACAAACAGTGAAATAGTTGATTTTCCCTTGAACAATTACAATCAGATGTATCATTATACACACACCTAGTTTTATTCCAAGAGGCACATGACTGATTTTGTCAAAATAAAGTCAGCTTTATTTCCAAAAAGAAATCACTAAATATTTATACATTATTTATATAAATTATGTGATGACCTTCAGCAAATAAAGGGGACCTATAAAATGTTATGGCTTGCATTGTAGATTTTAATTGCGAAATTTCTTCTTTTTCCGGAACTTCTTTCCTGCTGCATTTGCTGCTTTTTCAGCCATGATTTCTGAATACTTCCTTCGGTTAAATCTGAAAAGAAAAAACAAACTTTATTTCTAATGCACAATAATTTAAGAGGTATATCAAGTATGAGCAGTTAATATAGCCTTAGGGAGGCACTAAATCTCACAACGCTCTGCGCATTGTGTAAATTGTATTGTGTAAATCACATTGCTACCAAATGTCAGGAGGCTGAGGACAGCAATGGTCTCTGCCCTCAGGTGTGTGTGTGTGTTTTAAGGTTTTGAGATGGTATCTTGCAGTGGCTGGCCTTGAACTTCCTAAGCATCCTAGACTGATCACGAACTCACAACCTTCCTTTCTCAGTTTCCTATGCATTGGACTTACAGATGTACACTGAACTTCTCAACCAGTTTGTATTTACCAGGTGGTGTGGGATCTGGGTATAAATGTGGCATAAAAACACAAAAAAGACAAAGCAGAATAATTTCTACTTAATGAAAGCAGTATTAACGACTTTTTAGAAGCTCAAAGCCAGGTGTGCAGGCACACTTGGGAGGCAAAGGCAGGTGATTTCTGATCCAGAACAGCCAGAACTACACAGTGAGAGACCCTGTCTCAACTGTCTCCCCCCCCCCCCCCATAGGAAAAAAAAACGCCTTGGAAAACAAAGATTTATGACTTTCAAAGTCTGCTCTCCAGATCAGAGGTCTGCTAGGTAAGAAGTACTTTCACAGGAACACTAAGGCATTACTTATCCCACTCGCCTCATTTTCATGAGGCTACATGTGCAGTTTAAAGGATACAGGACATGTGGTTTGGCAGAAATAGATGAGAATCTAACTTTAACTATTCCAGATACTAAATTATTTTTGCTTTGTTATTCTCATAAAAAGTCACCAAAATGTAATCTGAAAACCTATAAACTTACATGTATTTTAAAAAGGCACACATAAAGTAAACTGTTATTACCTTCTGAACTCAGAATCAGCCAGCAGTTCTTCCACAATAGTCTTTTTCCTTTGTTTCTTGGGAATTCTTGAATGGTAGAAGTCAGCTGGATTATCAGCGATGGTTCCAACCTAAGAAAATTGAGAAATAAATAATGTAGCATGTGGATGTTAAGTCGCTTCATATGTCACTGTAGGTCTAAAGGTTTTCTGTGAAAGGAACAGACAGCACAAGCCCCCATCACGCATGTCTTCAAGTCATGTAGACCACCCAGGAGCCAGTACCCTGGTGCTACGATGGCATTTCCCATCAGAGCACGGTAGGTCCAGTACTTCAGTGCTCAACAGTGAATTCATGATGAATAGCACAATGTAATATAAATTGTGCTTTTTAATTCAATAATGTACATATAAATCCTATATGCCTATTTTAGAGGTTAGCATAAACACTGCCAACCTAGAACCTGTTTAGTAAAGGTTCTCCATTTATTCTCAAGTGACTGACGTTTACAGGACGACTACTATGTGCAGGCACTGTGCTTAGGTGATGGGAAAACAAGGCCTGAGACCGTCTAGTCCATGCCAGTAAGGAACCACAATCTTAGGGCAGAAACTAAAAATCATTACAGTACAAACAATACACACAGACAAAAGACTGTACTCTGGAGACCTAGTGACCAGGTTTACCGAAGGAGGTAAGAATGACAAAGACAGTATTTTAGCTTGGCTCTCTACAGGTAGAGTCAAGTCGGAGAACAGTGAAAGCTGGTTCATGTTCTGAGAAGGCTGAGCTTAAGAGGGCTCAATAACGTAGGGGTGGCAAGCTAGTTTGTGTGCAGAGTAGCTAGTGTTATAGTCTGTGATTTCCTTACATATTTGTTTTCATGTTATACTTCTGAGAAACTTGAGTAATTCCTGGTGACCTTTGGGTAGTCTGTATCACTTCCTTTGGACCTTCTTACTCTGCATCCACACTAGCTACATGGGGCCAGAGGGAAAGAGACTGGGAAACATATAAGGAGCCACATGAGCAGAAAGGGCTGAAGAGTGGAAAGATGATCAAATTAATCACTCATTGGGAGACACGGAAAAGCAACTTTTGAATGACTTTTACCATCTGTCTGGGGAAAAGGAAAGGAACGGAACACAGAATTTCCTTCTTGTCTACATGCTGCATGAACTCTTGCACTTAGATTAGTACTAGCAATACATCCAGATACAAAAATTCGGTGAGTTTAAGAGAACTACCCTTGATCCCAGCTACCATTTTTAACCCTGTCCCTTTTGAGGACCCATTATAGAACGGTGGCTGGCTGAGCTGCGTTCGCGCCATGATAAAGCCTAAGCAGACGCTGACCACCG